CCAGAACCTTGTATTACAGGAGTGAAGAACAAGAGGGGGCATGACCACGACATACGGCACATTACAGGGCACAGACAGGGTCAACTAGGACAGGTTCTATGGCAAGCACGAAACAAGAACAAAGTGTCATGTCTGGAAATCATGCAACCAAATGAGTCACAGGAATATCAGGAAACATTTCTTCAAAATACCTTTTTCTAAATAGCTCTTGTTCTTTTTTATTTCTTCTATTGTCCATGGGGAAGTGGAAAAGAATCTTTCCTCCGTAAGCCATGCGTGTCGTATGAGGCGACTAAAATGCCGGGAGCAATGGGCTAGTAACCCCTTCTCCTGTATACAATTACTAAAAAAGAGAAGAAGAAAAACTTTATAAAACTGGGTTGCTTAAATGTGCGTGGATGTAGTGCGGATGACAAGAAACAGATGATTGCTGATGTTATGAATGAAAAGAAGTTGGATGTCCTGGCCCTAAGCGAAACAAAGCTGAAGGGGGTAGGAGAGTTTCAGTGGGGGGAAATAAATGGGATTAAATCTGGAGTATCTGAGAGAGTTAGAGCAAAGGAAGGGGTAGCAGTAATGTTAAATGATCAGTTATGGAAGGAGAAAAAGAATATGAATGTGTAAATTCAAGAATTATGTGGATTAAAGTAAAGGTTGGATGCGAGAAGTGGGTCATAATAAGCGTGTATGCACCTGGAGAAGAGAGGAATGCAGAGGAGAGAGAGAGATTTTGGGAGATGTTAAGTGAATGTATAGGAGCCTTTGAACCAAGTGAGAGAGTAATTGTGGTAGGGGACTTGAATGCTAAAGTAGAGAGAAACTTTTAGAGAGGGTGTGGTAGGTAAGTTTGGGGTGCCAGGTGTAAATGATAATGGGAGCCCTTTGATTGAACTTTGTATAGAAAGGGGTTTAGTTATAGGTAATACATATTTTAAGAAAAAGAGGATAAATAAGTATACACGATATGATGTAGGGAGAAATGACAGTAGTTTGTTGGATTATGTATTGGTAGATAAAAGACTGTTGAGTAGACTTCAGGATGTACATGTTTATAGAGGGGCCACAGATATATCAGATCACTTTCTAGTTGTAGCTACACTGAGAGTAAAAAGGGAGATGGGATACAAGGAGAATAGAAGCATCAGGGAGAGAGAGGTGAAGGTTTATAAACTAAAAGAGGAGCAGTTAGGTAAGATATAAACAGCTATTGGAGGATAGATGGGCTAATGAGAGCATAGGCAATGGGGTCGAAGAGGTATGGGGTAGGTTTAAAAATGTAGTGTTAGAGTGTTCAGCAGAAGTTTGTGGTTACAGGAAAGTGGGTGCAGGAGGGAAGAGGAGCGATTGGTGGAATGATGATGTAAAGAGAGTAGTAAGGGAGAGAAAAGTTAGCATATGAGAAGTTTTTACAAAGTAGAAGTGATGCAAGGAGGGAAGAGTATATGGAGAAAAAGAGAGAAGTTAAGAGAGTGGGTGAAGCAATGTAAAAAGAGAGCAAATGAGAGATGTGGGTGAGATGTTATCAACAAATTTTGTTGAAAATAAGAAAAAGTTTTGGAGTGAGATTAACAAGTTAAGAAAGCCTAGAGAACAAATGGATTTGTCAGTTAAAAATAGGAGAGGAGGTTATTAAATGGAGAGTTAGAGGTATTGGGAAGATGGAAGGAATATTTTGAGGAATTGTTAAATGTTGATGAAGATAGGGAAGCTGTGATTTCGTGTATAGGGCAAGGAGGAATAACATCTTGTAGGAGTGAGGAAGAGCCAGTTGTGAGTGTGGGGGAAGTTCGTGAGGCAGTAGGTAAAATGAAAGGGGGTAAGGCAGCCGGGATTGATGGGATAAAGATAGAAATGTTAAAAGCAGGTGGGGATATAGTTTTGGAGTGGTTGGTGCAATTATTTAATAAATGTATGGAAGAGGGTAGGTACCTAGGGATTGGCAGAGAGCAGCATAGTTCCTTTGTATAAAGGCAAAGGGGATAAAAGAGAGTGCAAAAATTATAGGGGGATAAGTCTGTTGAGTGTACCTGGTAAAGTGTATGGTAGAGTTATAATTGAAAGAAATTAAGAGTAAGATGGAGAATAGGATAGCAGATGAACAAGGAGGCTTTAGGAAAGGTAGGGGGTGTGTGGACCAGGTGTTTACAGTGAAACATATAAGTGAACAGTATTTAGATAAGGCTAAAGAGGTCTTTGTGGCATTTATGGATTTGGAAAAGGCGTATGACAGGGTGGATAGGGGGGCAATGTGGCAGATGTTGCAAGTGTATGGTGTAGGAGGTAGGTTACTGAAAGCAGTGAAGAGTTTTTACGAGGATAGTGAGGCTCAAGTTAGAGTATGTAGGAAAGAGGGAAATTTTTTCCCAGTAAAAGTAGGCCTTAGACAAGGATGTGTGATGTCACCGTGGTTGTTTAATATATTTATAGATGGGGTTGTAAGAGAAGTAAATGCGAGGGTCTTGGCAAGAGGCGTGGAGTTAAAAGATAAGAATCACACACAAAGTGGGAGTTGTCACAGCTGCTCTTTGCTGATGACACTGTGCTCTTGGGAGATTCTGAAGAGAAGTTGCAGAGATTGGTGGATGAATTTGGTAGGTGTGTGCAAAAGAAGAAAATTAAAGGTGAATACAGGAAAGAGTAAGGTTATGAGGATAACAAAAAGATTAGGTGATGAAAGATTGAATATCAGATTGGAGGGAGAGAGTATGGAGGAGGTGAACGTATTCAGATATTTGGGAGTGGACGTGTCAGCGGATGGGTCTATGAAAGATGAGGTGAATCATAGAATTGATGAGGAAAAAGAGTGAGTGGTGCACTTAGGAGTCTGTGGAGACAAAGAACTTTGTCCTTGGAGGCAAAGAGGGGAATGTATGAGAGTATAGTTTTACCAACGCTCTTATATGGGTGTGAAGCGTGGGTGATGAATGTTGCAGCGAGGAGAAGGCTGGAGGCAGTGGAGATGTCATGTCTGAGGGCAATGTGTGGTGTGAATATAATGCAGAGAATTCGTTAGTTTGGAAGTTAGGAGGAGGTGCGGGATTACCAAAACTGTTGTCCAGAGGGCTGAGGAAGGGTTGTTGAGGTGGTTCGGACATGTAGAGAGAATGGAGCGAAACAGAATGACTTCAAGAGTGTATCAGTCTGTAGTGGAAGGAAGGCGGGGTAGGGTCGGCCTAGGAAGGGTTGGAGGGAGGGGGTAAAGGAGGTTTTGTGTGCGAGGGGCTTGGACTTCCAGCAGGCATGCGTGAGCGTGTTTGATAGGAGTGAATGGAGACAAATGGTTTTTAATACTTGACGTGCTGTTGGAGTGTGAGCAAAGTAACATTTATGAAGGGATTCAGGGAAACCGGCAGGCCGGACTTGAGTCCTGGAGATGGGAAGTACAGTGCCTGCACTCTGAAGGAGGGGTGTTAATGTTGCAGTTTAAAAACTGTAGTGTAAAGCACCCTTCTGGCAAGACAGTGATGGAGTGAATGATGGTGAAAGTTTTTCTTTTTCGGGCCACCCTGCCTTGGTGGGAATCGGCCGGTGTGATAATAAAAAAATAAAAACCTGTAAGTGGAATAGAGGTTCAATGACACAGTGGAAGCAAGCTCCATATAGTGTTCAAAAATAAATATAAGGCTCAATCACGCCAGTTGACCAAAAATTAAGAACTGTATTGATAAAGCCACTGAATGGAGAAACGTCTACAAAGTAAAGTTACCCAGATGTTGCAAGTATTTAATTCTTTATCTTGTCAGTATTGTACACGATTCATACATGACCACAGGATACCTAACATGGACCATGCCTGCTGCAATACTCTGTTTTTGCATATGTTCCATTCCCTTCCTTTCTTGTACTTAGCAGTCCTCCTCTAGTTTTATATTACTCGATCTCTTTACCCTAACCTCCTTGCTGGATGCTATGTAAGTTGTGCTCTGTGATATGTTCTCTATGTACTCAAGCTTCTTTGAGGGTGAAGTGCTGAACAAAAAGATTTCCTTACATACTGTCTTACTCTATGGGAAAGCGGAGAATCTTTCCTCCGTAAGTCACGTATGTCGTAAGAGGTGACTAAAATGCCAGGAGCAAGAGGCTAATAACCCCTTCTCCTGTATAAACTACTAAATGTCAAAAGAGGATAACTTTCTTCTTTTTCAGGTCACCCTGCCTTAGCAGATGATCGGTGTGTTTAAAAAAAAAAATTGTCTTAATGTTTCCAACTATATTTGTTGTTTATACCAACAGGCTGCTGCTGTTAGCAGCCCACTGGCCTACACAGCCATTGCAGTTTAACTGACCTGGCACCTGAAAGAGATAGTGATCCATTTTCCTCGAAGATTTCATCTGCTCCTGCAATATTTCCATATATGTACTGGTAGCAGGTTAGAATGTTGGGCTACAGATGTTGACACAGTGTTCATTTTTGTGCCTATTGTCTCCCTTCTTTTCATTGGATTTATTTTACACTTTCTACCATATCTCCCACTCCATAAGTTATAGTAGTGTGTAGATTAGGGACCTGGTTCTTCAGGTGTATAATATCAGGTATCTCACTCTTCTTTGCTCCAAGTAGTTTGGGTATTCCCATGAAGACAATAAATTACATTTGATCAGCAGTAGGTTAGCCAATTTAAAGCAACACAATTATTTAAAATTCCACATGCCAGTGCCTCCAGATGCCTTACCACCATTTCTTAAGCACTGCTGCAAGAGAAAATTATCATCTTCCCACATATTATTTTATGAGAATGTTGACTAACAAACTTTGAAAGGCAAGAACTGTTCAATGTTCTTAGATCTCCCTTTCCTGATACAGGAAAGGAGGGTCTAAGAATTAATATTGGGAAGCAACACTTGTGTTTTTAAATTAGAGGAAGAAAAAATAATCATTGGTAATAATAAAACAAATTTCTTTTAAATCTTTAGTAACTAATGAGAATATGAAAGCCATTTGGCACAAAAATAAAGGCTAGTAGACAAAAACAACTAAGGATTGCAAGCTATGATCTCACCTGGCATGCCTGCATAAGACTCATGTCAAAATGTCCACCAAAACGAAAGACAACTTCCTCGTAAGTCTTCAGTAGTTGAGCCTTCATGAGAGAGCATAGCTGAGCGCACATATGTGATGTGCGAATTTCTTCTGTAACACCACTCAAAGTCTCAGATGATACCTGAAAATACAGCAATATAACATGTTAAATATTTGTTATTTTATCTTTCAGTTTTGTAATTATAAAAAAGGAGAGATCAGATAATTGTATCAACTAGATTTGAGTTTTATGCATCGAATCGGAGCTTGATTTACAGATGAGCACTGCAAGACCTATTACTATGCAGAGTCAATTAAACCACATATTAACACAGTCCAGTATTTGACATACTATACTGGAATTTCAGATTTCATGAGAAACACTGGAGGATAGCATGTTAAGACGAAACAACAAAGCAAGACACCTTTGCCTTTGATTAATTCTCAGATTTTTAATTAACATAATACTTAGGGGCTATTTTGCAATGCTTGGTGCATGCTGCCTATTCAAAGGAATAAAAATGCACAGCTCCAACTAGCAATATTGAAAACAAGCTATGACAACATAGTATAAAGTCATTTTACCCTATATGAACTGTACTTGTAATTCCTCTTATGGCAATGTTTCTGCTGGTCCTCAAGGCACATGATTATTGAACAAAGAAGTTAATCAGTTTGGTTACAACTGCCAAGTGATAGTGTTGCCCACTTCACCAATCTATCCCCCATCCTTCCTAATATAGTACTTTTCATATTTTATATCTGGAGAGCAATATCATTGGTGTTATTTTTGTTGTAGACTGATACTTACTGATGATAATCACTACCCCTTTAATCCACTGCCCCCACTCAACTCATGGGAGGGAGGGAAATGTGTACCCTTGACTTACCCCAACATTACATTTGGGATCTGAAACTGCTGATCAATTCATCTTCCAACCGACCCAACCCAAGTTAGGCCAGGTCGCACCAACTCGCCTGGCTTAACTCAACCGAAGGAAAGTGAGGTCCCTTCCAGCTAGCTATCCTGCAGGCCTGCGGATTGGGTATATTTAGGGTAGACTTGCAGCATAGCCATTGTTTTGATTATACAAACCACAATTTGCTCACTTCACTGTGGCATCGCTTCGCATATATTTTACATTTAATCCCAGTTAAGATGAATACCAGAGAACCAGTGAACAGTCCATGAGCAAATATCAAGACCATTATTTTAGACATTAAATTGGATGTTTTATGGAGATCTGAAGCTGGAAAGTAAATTATGGAATTGCCAGTTATCAACCTAGCTTTTCTTCATGCTATGTATATACCTAAGCAAGAGACTAAATTTAAAGCCAGTGCTCAGTCAGTCATGCCTGAGGCTGATTTAAAATGATCATAAATATATAATGAAAGCTCAAGCTATATGAAAGGAGACATCTAGCGTGTTAAAATAAGAAAGATTAATTCTTAAATTCTCTGCAGGCAGCCCACCCTACTGAAGACATTGAAGAATAGTTTCTTGTAGAACTGAAGAACATCAAACTAAATATCTCCATGGGGAAGTGGAGAAGAATCTTTCCTCTGTAAGCCATGCATGTCATAAGAGGTGACCAAAATGCCGGGAACAAGGGACTAGTAATCCCTTTCTCCTGTATAAATTATTAAATGTAGAAAGAAGATAAACTTCATAGTTTTTTTTTTTTTTTTTTTTTTTTTGGTCGCCCTGCCTCAATGGGAGACGGCTGGTATGTTGGGAAAAAAAACTAAATACAGTAGAACCCCCATATCCGCAGATCCAGTTGCCATGGTTTCAGCTATCCACGGTTTACTGTGGCCCAAAAATAACCCTTAGTTTATCTTAATAATGACCCCAAAGTACAAAAGTACTGATGGTGGAAGTTCTTAAAAGTCTAAAAGAATCCATAAAGTTTTTCTATCAGTGAAAAAGTGCTAATTCTCAACATATTGTGTGTAATTTATCTAATTAAACTTTATCATAGCTACGTATGTGAACAAAAAACGAATTATGTATAAGGTTCGCCGCTATCCATGGTTTCAGGTAACCATGGTAGGTCTTGAATGTATCCCCCGCAGATATGGGAGGACTACTGTATAGCTATGAAAACTAAAAATAATGGTGTTTCATCATATCTGATTTGTTTCAAAGTGTAATTATCCATCAACCATAATTACACAAGTACTACACTGTCTTTGTGTTGTTTTGACTTTCTTTTAATGTGACTGCAGGAACAGCAAGAATAGGCTAAGGGATATTTCCCAAAACATTTCCTTTGAACTGGATTTGAACCGGTGACCTATGATGTACAGTTGTATAGCTACTAACGAAGTCACTCTAACCACACATTACCCTTAGACATGACAACTTCCCTGTCTCCAGCCTCCTCCTTGCCTCAACATTTACAACCCATGCTTCACACACAAGTGTGTTGACACTATTATACTCTCATACATTCCCTTCTTTGCCTCCATGAATAATGAAATATTCTGCAATAAAAATACACTGAGTAACCTGTTATACAAGGGTGTACTGTACAGTGTTCATTAAAAGTACAGCAGGTAGAAGACACCAGACAATTTAATGTTCAAAGTAATACCCTACACTCTCATACATTTGTTGATGAGACAAACTGAGTTATACTGGCCTGGCAACTTGTAGCGAAACATCTCAGGATTTCCTGAGTATCTTCTAGGTTTGTGTGGTGGACAGATTCATGTCTGTGGTCCCCCTGCACCATGTGGTCTAAAGGACCGAATTCATCAGACATTTTTTACTATAGACAAAGTAATATGGGCAGGAATAAGTTGCTGACATGAAAGAGAACTGCAGAGACCACTGGATTACATAAGGCAGGCCATCAAACGAAGGCAACAATAAAATCCAACAATGTGTGTGAGCATCCAGTGAGGACCTCGTTGTGTCAATTCCTTTAGGACAATGTTCATTATTTTTTTTTTTCAACAGGCTGGCCATCTCCTACCTAGGCAGGGTGACCCCCCCAAAAAAAAAAAAACTTTTACCAACATGCAACACTTTCACCATCATTCACACACAATCACTGTCTTTGCAGAGGCACAAAGATACAACAGTTCAGATGTCACTTCAAACAGCAAATATCCCAAACTCCTCCTTTAAAGTGTAGGTATTGTACTTCCCTCCTCAAGAACTCAAGTCCGGTTAATCAGTTTCCCTGAATTCCGTCAAAAATATTATCCTGATCACACTCCCAAAGCACATCCAGGGAAGCCCAGTAATAAGTTGCCACTAATGTTAACTATACTAAAGTACCTAGTAATGGTTTGTTACCTTATGCCCAAATCTTTTACTAAAGTGTGGTGCAGGTTGTTATTGAAAAAAAAAAATGCTCCTTGCCACACTGCAAAATCAGTTGTTAAATGACTTTGTGACTGTGCAGTGCCCTTCTTTGACGACTAGCCAGGAAACTCAAATGTGAACCCCGTTGAGAACCTATGAGGGATCTACATGGGAAAGGATATCAGCTCACTCCCATAGCTTTAGGATGCCATCTGCAAGTCATGGAGAAATTTGCCCCATGAAATCCTGAAGAATGTGAGTTAATCACTTCTTAGACAGTTAAGGAATGGCTGTGATTTTAGAGGGAATCCAATGTACTTTAATGATGAGCACTGTATGTCTGTTTCTTCCACTGAAAAAAAAATGTCCATGTAAAAATAGAAGTACACTACTAAAAACTAAATGTTTGCTTGGGGTTCTCATGCACCAGCCTGGCTGACATTAAGACTTGTACACAGGCAGAAGTAAAAACCACGGTAAGTGTACTGCACATTATGACATGGGGAATTTAATAGAAGTATAAAATAAGGCAAAATATAAAAATGACAAGAAAACTCAGCTATGCATATCAGTTTTTAAGACAGCCTACCTTAAGATCATTGCAACTTTTTGAATCCTTTAAACGTGAGTCCGAATATGTCTTCTCATGGAGCGTCATATCAGTTTCACTCATCCTCTTGTGGCGTAGTTCTCCTCCCCTACTTCGTCCTCCATCCAGTAACTTTTCAGATTTGTTGGCTTTGCTGAAAAAAATACTGAGTTAATGGTCAGGTTATTACAGTACATACGGAGATAAAGTGTAGAGATGCATATACTTAGAGTAATAGTGTAAATTACCCTACTGAATTTCAATTTTTAACAGCTAAATGGTTACCCTCTTGTGCATCTGAGTGAATAAGTCAGCATTAAGCCCAAGTGATGTTCTGTACTACATATTATGTTAAGAGTACAATGGGATGAAATCAAAATGGTGACCAGTCTCAAACAGCATTCCACTATGATCAGTTTTGGCCCCTTTGTAGTTCATAATTTACATTAATGAATGTGACAAAAGAAGAGAAAGCAACACGAGTAAATTCACTGAAGACAAAAATACAATACATTTTATAGAGAATAACTATGAGGTTAATCATAGAATTGATGAGGGAAAAAAGGTGAGTGGTGTGTTGAGGTATATGTGGAGTCAAAAAACGTTATCTATGGAGGCAAAGAAGGGAATGTATGAAAGTATAGTAGTACCAACACTCTTATATGGATGTGAAGCTTGGGTGGTAAATGCAGCAGCGAGGAGACGGTTGGAGGCAGTGGAGATGTCCTGTCTAAGGGCAATGTGTGGTGTAAATATTATGCAGAAAATTCGGAGTGTGGAAATTAGGAGAAGGTGTGGAGTTAATAAAGCATTAGTCAGAGGGCAGAAGAGGGGTTGTTGAGGTGGTTTGGTCATTTAGAGAGAATGGATCAAAGTAGAATGACATGGAAAGCATATAAATCTATAGGGGAAGGAAAGAGGGGTAGGGGTCGTCCTCGAAAGGGTTGGAAAGAGGGGGTAAAGGAGGTTTTGTGGGCGAGGGGCTTGAACTTCCAGCAAGCGTGCATGAGCGTGTTAGATAGGAGTGAATGGAGACGAATGATACTTGGGACCTGACGATCTGTTGGAGTGTGAGCAGGGTAATATTTAGTCAAGGGATTCAGGGAAACCGGTTATTTTCATATAGTCGGACTTGAGTCCTGGAAATGGGAAGTACAATGCCTGCACTTTAAAGGAGTGGTTTGGGATATTGGCAGTTTGGAGGGATATATTGTGTATCTTTATACGTATATGCTTCTAAACTGTTGTATTCTGAGCACCTCTGCAAAAGCAGTGATAATGTGTGAGTTTGGTGAAAGTGTTGAATGATGATGAAAGTATTTTCTTTTTGGGGATTTTCTTTCTTTTTTGGGTCACCCTGCCTCAGTGGGAGACGACCGACTTGTTGAAAAAAAAAAAAAAAAAAAAACTATAGGGGGGCAATGTGGCAGATGTTGCAGGTGTATGGTGTAGGAGGTAGGTTACTGAAAGCAGTGAAGAGTTTTTACGAGGATAGTGAGGCTCCAATTAGAGTATGTAGGAAAGAGGGAAATTATTTCCCAGTAAATGTAGGCCTTAGACAAGGATGTGTGATGTCACCGTGGTTGTTTAATATATTTATAGATGGGGTTGTAAGAGAAGTAAATGCGAGGGTCTTGGCAAGAGGCGTGGAGTTAAAAGATAAAGAATCACACATAAAGTGGGAGTTATCACAGTTGCTCTTTGCTGATGACAATGTGCTCTTGGGAGATTCTGAAGAGAAGTTGCAGAGATTGGTGGATGAATTTGGTAGGGTTTGCAAAAGAAGAAAATTAAAAGTGAATACAGGAAAGAGTAAGGTTATGAGGATAACAAAAAGATTAGGTGATGAAAGATTGGATATCAGATTGGAGGGAGAGAGTATGGAGGAGGTGAATGTATTCAGATATTTGGGAGTGGACGTGTCAGCGGATGGGTCAATGAAGGATGAGGTGAATCATAGAATTGATGAGGGGAAAAGGGTGAGTGGTGCACTTAGGAGTCTGTGGAGACAAAGAACTTTGTCCTTGGAGGTAAAGAGGGGAATGTATGAGAGTATAGTTTTACCAACGCTCTTATATGGGTGTGAAGCATGGGTGATGAATGTTGCAGTGAGGAGAAGGCTGGAGGCAGTGGAGATGTCACGTCTGAGGGCAATGTGTGGTGTGAATATAATGCAGAGAATTCGTAGTTTGGAAGTTAGGAGGAGGTGCGGGATTACCAAAACTGTTGTCCAGAGGGCTGAGGAAGGGTTGTTGAGGTGGTTTGGACATGTAGAGAGAATGGAGCGAAACAGAATGACTTCAAGAGTGTATCAGTCTGTAGTGGAAGGAAGGCGAGGTAGGGGTCGGCCTAGGAAAGGTTGGAGGGAGGGGGTAAAGGAGGTTTTGTGTGCGAGGGGCTTGGACTTCCAGCAGGCGTGTGTGAGCGTGTTTGATAGAAGTGAATGGAGACGAATGGTTTTTAATACTTGACGTGCTGTTGGAGTGTGAGCAAAGTAACATTTATGAAGGGGTTCAGGGAAACCGGCAGGCCGGACTTCAGTCCTGGAGATGGGAAGTACAGTGCCTGCACTCTGAAGGAGGGGTGTTAATGTTGCAGTTTAAAAACTGTAGTGTAAAGCACCCTTCTGGCAAGACAGTGATGGAGTAAATGATGGTGAAAGTTTTTCTTTTTCGGGCCACCCTGCCTTGGTGGGAATCGGCCAGTGTGATAATAAATAAATAAAACTATAGTTTTACATACAGAAAAGGGATGATGAAATTTGAGGGTCCACTTTAGGTCGAATAATAGATTCACAGCAGATGAGGTTCAATATGGAGAAGTACCGAGTCCTAATTCTTGGGAATGAAAATCATCCTCATGCTTATAAATTAGGTGTAGTACCTAATCATACAGAATATGAAAGACCTGAAAGCTATGGTAATCAGAAATCTGAAGCCAAGACAGCAGGGGCTAGCATACAAAAAATAGTTTTGAAAACCGACAAGTTGAAGAATGAGACACTCGTGCAACATATGGGAATCTTTACTGAGGAAAGCCACACAGTGGCTTCATCAAATACAAAGAGGAACAGTGTAAGGAGAGGAGGAGTTTGAGGTAATAAGTCCCTCAGCCTAGAATTGATGTGTTCAGTCCATCAATCTTGAAAAAAGTACAGCTTATGGCCAGAGAAGTGGTTTATATACTGTAGTCAGGTGAGTCAAAGCAGGAGTAGGTGGAGTCACAGTGCAGCCATCCACTAGTGTAAGTAGATCTTCATCCAAAGGCTGAACAAGTGTTGAAGAAGTCCTTGTATCAAGGATTGATGGAATGAACACATCAATTCCAGGCTGAGATTGATTACCTCAAATTCCTCCTCTCCTTACACCTTTCTTCTTTGTATTGGACTGATGAACACACTATGTGGCAAAAAGTTTCCTCAATAAAGATTCCCATATGTTGCCCAAGTGTCTCATTCATCAGGGGCTAGCATGCATAATAAGACTAGGACTACTTTCATTTATATCAAAAAGTATATACAAGTAACAAGAGTTCAAAAGATATTCTGTAACTCCATACATCATTAATAAGACTTCGCTTAGATTATGCAAGTCAGTTCTGGTCTCCTCACTACAAAATAGATATACTAAATGCATTGAAGAATGTACAGAGAAAGACGACAAATTTAATCCACTGCATAAGGAATCTTTTTTACCTTCAAAGACAGAGTGAAAGCACTCATCTCACACTTATGAAAGATGAAGAATAAGGAGAGACTTGATTGAAGTATACAAGATGACAAGCATTAATAAAGGAGAAATAGTATACCAAGGATATCCAACACAGAAAGAACTCAAAGTAATGGATTTAGGTTGGATAAAATTAGATTTAGAAAAGACAGAAGAAAGAATTTGTTTGGCAAAAGTGTTATCAATGAGTGGAACAAACTGCCAAGCAAGGTCACTAATGTTAAACCCTTGAGTAGCCTTAAAAACAGGTTGGATAAGAATACAAATGATAAGGGTTTGGATTTACAGAGGATCTGCCAAGCATGGCCCAGCAGACCTGGTGTGGTGTTCCTCCATTCTTGTGCTCTTATATTTTAAGAAAATAGCAGCAGATGTAAGACACATGACCAATTCTTGTCGGTCAGTCAAAAGATGAGGGATCAAGAGTACACTCACTACAAGACCAAAAAGGTAATTACAAAGTAATCAGGGAGTATGGCAAGATGACAAGAATGTGGTAATGATTATTTAATAAAGCCATGGAAAGTATTATTGTTAAAGACAGCACTTTCCAATGGTTAACATTATAAACATAGCAGGATGTCAAGAAAACAAAGATAATTAAAATAAAGATAACATGTTCTAAGGTAAACTGAGTAATCTATCATAACATGCTGGGTGGCTACAAAGAAAAAAAAAAGAAAAAGCACAGCAGAGTTAGTCGTCTGTACACGAGATGACAAAATGCAGGTTTGGTACACCCAATGAACAGATGTGAAAGAAAAATCTATGTAAGCATCAATGATGGAGTGAGGATGATGGCTTGATGTATTAAATGGCATATATCAAACTTGCTTCAGTATCTTAAAAATCTGGTTATTGAAGTTTAGTCACATGGAAAAAAAAAATCATCAGTATGCAATAAAAGTACTTTTGATACTTTTGGGTACTGAACCATTCATCTACCTAAAAATAATTCATTTGCCTCTTTGGTGTTTGGTATTTTCAGAATAAATATTTCAATCAGTTAGCTGGACCTGAGTCCTGGAGGTGGTAAATACAGTGCCTGCACTCTGAAGGAGGGGTGGGGATATTTGCAACTCTGAACTACAGTATCAGCGCTCCTCTGGCAAAACTGTGAAGGAGTGAGTGATAGTGAAAGCATTTCTTCTTCATCGGGTCCCCCTACCTCAGTGGAAGTTGGCCGGCATGTCAGAAAAAATACAAAAAATATACAAACCTTTGAGACAAGCTGAGATTTGCCAAATTTTCCGACAAAGTTGCAGAACTGCTAAGTATAGCATTTTTTGATGACATGATATCACTGTCTGCATTACACGAGTCCCCACACTCCTTACTATTCTTGGCATCTTTGTTGCTGGGATTTCCTTTATTAGATTTTGCTAAATCATGTTTTGAACAGTCATATTTTCCTGAATCAGGTTTGACCTCTTCACAGTTTACTGGGGAACTGAGTGGACCAGCTTCGGTGTCTGATGTTGAAAATAAACGGTTGATCTGTTCTGTCATTCTCTGGGTAGTTGATGCCTTTCCACGCTCACGAACTTTCTCTATTAGGCCCTGGAAATTGCTTTCATGGAAGAAGCTAGTTCCCATCAACTTGTCCATGTATCTGAAAAAATACGAAAGTTGAATATATTTCGTAAGAAGATGGAGTTTGAAAAACGAAAATATCTTTGTATGCCATTTTGGTTTTTACAAGTTGAACCACAGCTACAGTGACAATATCTGACCCTCTCAATCTTACCTAATTTACTCACCTTTGATCTTTCCTTTACACTAATGACTGTCTACCTCATAAATAACTTTTTCCTATCTCTCTTATCAGTTAGAACTACATATTTGGAATTTTTTTTTTTCAACAAGTCGGCTGTCTCCCACCGAGGCAGGGTGACCCAAAAAGAAAGAAAATCTCCAAAAAGAAACCACTTTCATCATCATTCAACACTTTCACCTCACTCACACAAAATAACTGTTTTTGCAGAGGTGCCCAGAATACAACAGTTCAGAAGCATATACGTACTGTACTAAGTATACCTAAGATTTATTAGGTCCAAACAAGATTGTAAAGCAGCTAACCACTATTCTATGTTTAGTTTTAAGTAATAATTACTATGTATTATTATCTTCTCTAGTTTTAATTAGTTACAATGTATTAGGATTAGTTTGCCCAAAATGCCTCAGCATGATAGTGGCTATCTTTGTACTTAGCAAATCAAAATTGTAATTACACATTGTAACCTTTACAAAGAAATAAAATTATTATTATTATTATTATAAAAATACACAATATATCTCTCCAAACTGATAATATCCCAAAACCCCTCCTTTAGAGTGCAGGCATTGTACTTCCCATATCCAGGACTCAAATCCGGTTATATAAAATAACCGGTTTCCCTGAATCCCTTCACTAAATATTACCCTGCTCACACTCCAACAGCTTGTCAGGTCCCAAATACCATTTGTCTCCATTCACTCCTATCTAACACGCTCACACACGCTTGCTGGAAGTCCAAACCCCTCGCCCACAACACCTCCTTTACCCTCTCCCTCCAACCTTTTCAAGGATGACCCCTACCCTGCCTTCCTTCCCCTACAGATTTATATGCTCTTCATGTCATTCTACTTTGATCCATTCTCTCAAAATGACTAAAACACCTCAACAAACCCTCTTCAGCCCTCTGACTAATACTTTTATTAACTCCTCACCTTCTCCTAATTTCCACACTCCGAATTTTCTGCCTAATATTTACACCACACATTGCTCATATCCTGAAATTAAAAGTGCTCAGTGTCTCCATTTTTTAACAAAAACAACAATCTTCTGAAATGGTAGAGAATGTTTTTCCAACACTACTCAGGACCTTGTTCCACTCATCCACGACTATCACCAAACAAGCGATTTCCCATATCCTTTCTAAATTTAAATTTGCCCAACTAAAACCCACTGCAGCAAGTCCTGTCTTGGCTAGATATTTGTAGCACATTATTTTTTCTTTTTAACATGTTCGCCGTGTCTGTCCAAGGCAGGGTGACCTGAAAAATAAGCCCTTTCACCATCATTTACATTATCAACATCTTGCCAGAGGCATGCAGATACAATAGTTTAGATGTCCCTCTAAACAACAAATATCCCAAACCCCTCTTTTAGAGTGCAGGCATTGTTCTTCCCACCTCCAGCCCCTTGCACACAAAACCCTCTTTACCCCCCTTCCTCCATCCATTCCTAGGATGACCCCTTACCGAGCCTTCCCTCCACAACAGATTTAGACACAATCCAACTCAATCTAATTTGCTCCATCCTCTCTAAACAACAAAAGCATCTCAACAACCCCTCCACAGCCCCCTTGATAATATGTTTAGTAACTCCACTTTATAAATGCCTGGCTCTGAATAACTCCTATGGGTTTAATGCTCTCCTCCTATATATAATAATAGTGTAGATTAGTGGAATAAATAAACAAGTGGAAGGGTTAAATCTGAATCTGAGAAGAATTTTGCCTACAATGACAATAATACTGAGCTCAAGGATATAAAAACACTGCATTTATTGACAATACAAAAAAAAAAAATTTACTTTTATCTGTGAGGCCTGAAAATATAACCCCAGCATCTTATGAGAGGTTAAGCAAAAATATGATTACCCGAGATAAAAAACACCCGTCTCTTATGGCTGAATGCGACTTATGGCCAATAATATACGGTATATAAAAAGTATTTTGAATTTCTTTCAAGTCTTAAGCAAATTGAAATTTTGTTTGAGATGTAAGAGGAGAATTCTAAATACAGCCTTGAGGAAGGAAAATTCCTCAAGATAAAAAAAAAAGGGCAAATGAAAATTAAATAAATGAAATGACAAGTTATGTATCAAATTAATAAATGAAACTTAATTTTCATTTTTCCTACCTGCACTCTTTGTAGCAGTCCATAGTGCTTCATGACAGCTGTAAGTTCATGAAGAAAGCTGGGTTTTTCTGAGTAAAATTTCTTCAAAGGCGACTCATAGCTATACGCGCCTTTTCAATATTTGCCACCAATCTTGTCTTAAGTAATCCTTCACTTTCACTTTCACTTTCTCTGTTTTTGACATTCTACAGGTTAATAATATGTAGTAACAAAATAATACACAATACAAAAAATGAATACAAAATGTTTAACAAATGCCATTTTTAAACCCAACACTGCATGTACACTATCACTGTCTTGCCATAGGTGTGCAGATATGACAATTTAGATGTCCTTCTACACAGCAAATATTCCAAACCCCTCCTTTAAAGTGCAGGCATTATACTTCCCACCTCCAGGACTCAAGTCCAGCTAACCGGTTTCCTATAATCCCTCAACAAAATATTATTTTGCTCACACTGCAAAAGCTTGTCAAGTCCCAAAAACCAGTTGTCTTCACTTACCCCTATCTAACATGCTCACATATGCCTGCTGTATGTCTAGGCCCCTTGCACACAAAACCTCATTTACCCCCCTCCCTCCATCTTTTCCTAGGACAACCCTTACCCTGTCTTCCCTCCACTACAGATTTATACACCCTCTAATTCATCCTATTTTGCTATAGCTAACTCTAAACTGCATGGGTTATTAAAATCATTCATTCATACACACTGTATTCTTTCTTTCAACAAACCAGCCATATCCTACTGAAGCAGGGTGCCCCAAAAAGAAAAACAAGTTTCTCTTTTTAACTTTAGTAATGTATACAGGAGAAAGGGTTACTAGCCCCTTGCTCACAGCATTTTAATCACCTCTTACAACATGCATGGCTTACGGAGGAAGAATTCTGTTCCACTTCCACCACTCCCCAAAAATACATTTTTAAAAATAGATGAATAACAATATGAATAAAACTTACTCAGCAATAACTGAATGTTCACTTTCAGTTTCCCAGGATTCATCAGAGGCAGTGTCATCCCACAATTCTCCTTCATCTGAGTCGTATTCTCCAACCTTATAAAGATCTTGTGGATAACACACTGATTTCCGTCCATCTACCCACCAAACACTGACCTGCAATAAAGATATTATTTTTATCAACAGATGATAATTTTTTTAAGAAATTAAAAATATAAACTCTGAACAACCTAACAAAGCACTATAGCTAAATCCGATACTATATTAAAAATCTCCATTTCTGTAATTGAATTATTACATTTCCTACCTTGCATAGCTTACGGAGGAAAGATTCTTATTCCACTTCCCAATGGAAATGAAAGGAAATAATATAAGCATGAACACGCACATGAAAGAGTGACCTAAGTGAAGAAAAAGTAACAAGATAATACCTGTTATCTTGTGTGGTTTTGAGAAAAAAGACATCAGTATTCCTACCATTGTATAAAACAATTACAGGTTTCTGTCTTACACTCATCTGGCAGACAGGAGGACCTCCCAGGGGTGTTGCCTGTCTTTTTTTTTGTCACTCCCCTACCTCGATGAGAATGGCCAGCATGGTTTAAAAAAAAAAAAAAAATCCTTCCTCATAAATATCCATTTTCTAAATTTATATTTTTTTTCTTTATTCATACAAAAAAACCTTGTCCTATCCATAATTTGCTTTTCTTTCATTGAACATTCTAAATACAGTATAACTATTATTAATTAAGTTAAGTCTTGCCTCAAAATTTCTAGGCATAAAATGGGTTTATTAGCATATTACTAATGTGACATTATGCTTATAGTTAATTGTTTCTTATCTATTGGCTATTGTAACTTTTTTGTCAAATATCTAAATCTGAATACCCTTGACTCTTCTTAAGAAAAAGATGACCCTGCAAGAGTCAAGTCTGTCTCCAACTTAGCATATAAAGATCGTGTCCTCCATTACTCTGTCTGAATGACCCATGACGGTTTAGAGCACTTCCACAAAAACACGTGCATGAGCGTGTTTTAGGAGAGTGAATGGAGAACAATGATTCTTGGGACCTCTGACATCTGTTGGAGTGTGAGCAGGGTAATATTTAGTGAAAGGGATTCAGGGAAAACCGGTTATTTTTCATATAGTCGACTTGAGTCTTGGACAAGGAATACAAATGCTTCTAACCTTACAATGCTTTCTAAACTGTTGTATTCTGAGCACCACTGCAAAAGCATGATATGTGTGAGTGAGGTGAAAGAGTTGAAGATGATGAAAGTAATTTCTATCTGGGGATTTCTTTCTTTATTTGGGTTCACCCTTCCACGGTGGGGAACGACCGACTTGTTGAAAAAAAAACCAAAAAATATAACATCAACCCTTCTTCTGACAAAGAATTTCACAATCACTTCATCAAGTTTGAGTTGAATTATCTCCTGAAGATGACCCAAGGAAAAGAGAAATAGATGGTTTCAGCAAGACAAAAACCCAGTAAAACAAATACAAGTCAGGAAGCCTGATTTGATCCAATCTTGGAAATTTTCAAATATTGCAGTAAAGAAGTATATAGAAAGGCTGATAGAGCAAATAGTGAACTTATATTTTTAAAAATTTTCAATTTATGATATGACTAATAAGTATAGTACTTATTTTATTATTATTTTTTTTTATTATCACTCCGGCCATTCCCACCAAGGCTAGGGTGGCCCGAAAAAGAAAAACATTACCCCATTCACCATCATTCACTCCATCACTGTCCAGCAGAAGGGTGCTTTAAACACTAGCAGATTTTTAAACTGCACAACATTAACACCCCTCCTTCAGAGAGCAGCACTGTAACTTCCTTCCCATCTCCAGCCTCAAGTCCGGCCTGCCGGTTTCACTCCCTGAAAACTCCCTTCATAATGTTACTTTGCTCACAATCCACAGCACGTCATAAATAAAACCGACCAATTGTCTCCATTCACTCCAAACGAAAACGCTCACGCATGCCTGCTGGAAGTCCAAGCAATCCCCACGCACACAAAACCTCCTTTAATACCCCCTCCCCTCCAACCCTTCCTAGGGGACCGACCGCCTACCCCCGCCTTCCTTCACTACAGCTGATTCACTCTTGAATTCACTTTTCGCTCCATTCTCTCTACATGTCCGAACCACTCAACAACCCTTCCTCAGCCCTCTGACACAGTTTTGGTAATCCCGCACCACCTCCTAACTTCCCAATCTACGAAATTTCCCCCCTCTGCTTATAAAAAATTCTCACCACACATTTCCCTCTAGACATACATCCCACTGCCCTGCCAGCCTCTCACTCGCAGCCACAATCATCACACCACCTTCACACCCATATAAGAGCGTTGGTACAACTATACTCTCGATACATTCCCCACTTGCCTTCTCCAAGGACAAAGTTCTGTGTCTCCCCCACAGACTCCAAATGCAAGTGCACCACCAACTCTTTTTTCCCTCATCATCTATGATTCCAAACCTCATCTTTTTCAAAACCCAACCGCTGACACGTCCACATTCCCAATAACTTAATACGTTCACCTCCACCCATACATCTCCTCCCCTCCAATCTGATATCAATCTTTCATCAACGCTAATCTTTTCTAGTTATCACTCATAACCTTACTCTTTCCTGTATTCCACCCTTTAATAGTCTCTTTTGCCCACCCTAGACCAAATTCATCCACCAATATCTCAGCAACTTCTCTTCAGAATCTCCCAAAGCAACAGTGTCATCAGCAAGAGCAGCTGTGCAACTCCCACTTTGTGTGTGATTCTTTACTTTTAACTACCGACGCCTCTGCCAAAACCCTCGCATTTTATTCTCTAACAAACCCCCATCTATAAATAAATTAAACAACCACGGTGACATCACACATCCTTGTCTAAGGCCTACTTTTTACTGGTGAAAAAAATTTCCCTCTGTCCTACATACTCTAACTTGAGCCTCACTATCCTCGTAAAACTCATCACTGCTTTCAGTACCGTACCTCTCTAACATCCTACACCATACACTGCAACATCTGCCACATGGCCCCCCATAACCTCCACCCTGTCATACGGCCATTTCCAAATCCATAAATGCCACAAAGAACCTCTTTAGCCTTATCTAAATACTGTTCACTTTATATGTTTCAACACGTAAACAACCTGGTCCACACACGCCCCTACCTTTCCTAAAGTCTCCTTGTTCATCTGCTATCCTATTCTTTCTCCGTCTTACTCTTAATTCTTTTTTTTCAATTATAACTCTACCATATACACTTTTACCCAGGTACACCCTCAACAGACTTTTTCCCCCTATAATTTTTTGCACTCTCTTTTATCCCTTTGCCTTTATACAAAGGAACTATGCATGCTCTCTGTCCAATCCTAGGTACCTTACCCTCTTCCTACATTTATTAAACAATTGCAACCACCCACTCCAAAACTATATCCCCGCACCTGCTTTTAAATCATTTTCAATCTTTAATCCCATCAATCCCGTCATGCCTTACCCCCTTTTCATTTTAACCTACTTCCTCACGAACTTCCCCCACACTCACAACTGGCTCTTCCTCACTCCTACAAGATGTTATTCCCCTTGCCCAATAACACAAAATCACAAGCTTTCCCTATCTCCATCAACATTTAAAAATTCCTCAAAATATTCCCTCCATCTTCCCAAAATCTCAAACTCTCCATTTAAAACTCTCCCTCTCCTATTTTTAACTGACAAATCCATTGATACTCTAGGCCATTTCTTAACTTGTTAATCTCACGTCCAAAACTTTTTCTTAATTTTTGCAACAAAATTTGTTGATTAAATCTCACCCACTCTCCGCATTTGCTCGTCTTTTTACATTGCTTCACCACTCTCTTAACCTCTTCTCTCTTTTTCCTTACCATATACTCTTCCCTCCTTGCATCACTTCTCAATCTTTGTAAAAACTTCTCATATGCTAACTTTTTTCCCGCCCTACCTATACCTCTCTTTACATCTCATACACCAATCGCCCTCTTCCTCTCTGCACCCACTTTCCTGTAACACACAAACTTTCTGCGAAAAGCACTCAACACTAACAATTTTTTAAACCTACCCCATACGCTCCCTTCATTTTCGAACCCCAATGCCTATGTTCCAATCATTATCCCATCTATCCTCCAATAGCTATTAGTTCTCCTCTAACTAACTGCCTCCTCCTTTTAGGTTTTATAAACCTTCACCTCTCTCTCCCTGAGCTTTCTATTCTCTGTATCCCATCTACCTTTTACTCTCAGTGGAGCTACAACTATAAAGTGATCTGATATATCTGTGGCCCCTCTATAAACATGTACATCCTGAAGTCTACCTCAACATCATTTATCTACCAAAACATCATCCAACAAACTACGTCATTTCGCCCTACATCATATCGTGTATACTTATTACCTCTTTTTCTTAAAAAATATGTAATATACCTAAAACTAAACCCCTTTCTATAGTATACAAAGTTCAATCAAGAGGGCTCCCATTTATCATTTACAACCTGCACCCCATAACTTTAACTACCCACACCCTCCTACAAGTTTCATCTCCTACTTTCGCATTCGAAGTCCCCAACCACCAATACTCTCTCACTTGTTCAAAGGCTCCTATACATTCACTTAAACATCTCCCAAAATCTCTCTCTCCTCCTCTGCATTCCTCTCTTCTCCGGTGCATACACGCTTATATACCCACTTCTTCGCATCCAACCACTAATTAATCCACATAATTCTGAATTTTACACATCATATTCTCCTTTCTCCCTTCCATAACTGATCATTTAACATACTGCTACCCCTCCCTTTGCTCTAACTCTCTTCAGATACTCCAATTTATATCCCATTTATTTCCCCCCACTGAAACTCTCCTACACCCCCTTCACTTTGTTTTCGCTTAGTGCCAGGACATCCAACTTCTTTTCATCATAACATCAGCAATCATCTGTTTCTTCTTGTCATCCGCACTACATCCCCACGCACATTTAAGCACCCAGTTTTTATAAAGTTTTTTTCTTTTCTCTTTTTAGTAATTGTATAACAGGAGAAGGGGTTACTAGTACAGTTCTCCCTCATTTTAGTCGTCCTCAAACGACACGCCTGGCATTACGGATGAAAGATTCTTTTTCACTTCCCCCATGGACAATAGAAAGAAATAAAAAATAACAAGAGCAATTTAGAAAAAGAGAAAACACCTAGATGTATGAAATAAATATATATGCATGTGCGAGTCTGTGAAGTGTGACCAAAGTGTTAAAGTAGGAGTACAAGATATCCCCTGATTTCTCTTAGCGAGTTTAAGAACAGAAGAAAGAAACACAGCACTCCAACCATCATGCAAAACAAAACAGGTATTTGTTTCACAGCATCAGGCAGACGTATACTATCCCAGGTGTGATGCTGACTACCAACCTACCAATACCCAAAGTGTTCAGCTACTGAAGATGGTAAGCAACTAAAGGAAGACCACATATTATTTATAAGTTTTGGCCTGCAGAGACCTCCTGCTATACATTACATTTTGTTAAATGCATCTCAGTGATCATCAACCATAACTCCCACTACAGCACAGAGTATGCCAAAATGCACATTCCCAATGTTTTCTATGGGTTAAGCAGGCAAATCAAGTCAGGATAAAATTCTGCAAATGGAAATAACTATACCCAAAAATTTACATTTTTATAATAGGGGAAAGGAGGGACCGTCCTTTTAATTTCTCAACCAGACACTACTGTGAAACTTTTTAGTGGGGCCTGAAGAATCCAAACATGCTGAAAATCCAAATAATTACATTTAAATAGATGTAATTCTGCAAGTGAATGATGACACTTGTTTATGCAAACCAGTTCTAACTAAAGGAAAGTTTTTTTTAATTTAATATAAAAACAGATACAGTCACTGTAACATTTAGAGAAGTTAAACTGGAAGAACATATCGCTGTTGCAAAATTAAACCACAAAAGTTTATTTGTAACCTACTGTCTCCAGATGGAAAGATGTCCAGTACCTGCCCAGTGAAGCTAGTCTTATCATTTTCAAATTAGCTACTCTTATGACACTGACCTTGGCGGTAACGAATGTCTGGGTGATCCTCCATGTCGTACACACTCATTTCCTTGCACACAAAGAAAAAGAGGTCTGAAAATATTGGCAAAATTTAATAAGACAATGGCACAATGTCACCTGGATTTCTCTTTTAAACATTAAATAAACAATATACAAAAATCTTGCCATAAAAATATTGATGCAATGAAAGTTTTACCATGCATTTTTATTCTTTTTGCCTGTATACTAAAGAGCATATAATTACCATACTTACTGGGTTACACTTCCAGCAGTATAAGTTCTAAACCCACTTAACAATAGACACCTTCCATAACCATGATCCACTTTCCTGACACAACTCCATAACTGCCATGAGATCTATGGAGTTCCTTTTTGTTCCACTACAAAGTCCACACCAGGAAAAAATTTTGATCATCTAAGTGGTGGATTGGGTACAACAGCACAGTAGAAATCGAATAGATTTCTTTCTCCAAGTTCCCACCTGGAAAAATAATAATACATGTACCCTCCAGCAGACATGTGAGCATGTTTAGTGAGTGGAGGCAATTGGTTAATATGACATGACAATGCATTGGAGTGTTCGCAAGGTAACACAGAGAAGGGATTCAGGGAAACTAATTAGTTGACTCGAGTTCCTGGAGATGGGAAGTACAGTGCCTACACTCTGAAGGAGGGGTGAGGATATCTGCAGTTTGGAGAGTGCAACTGATCTGTATTGTCAGCAACACACTATGAAGACTGATGGAGTGAGGGGAAGGTGAGTGTTCCTTCTTTAATTGGGTCATCCTACCTCAGTGGGAGACGGCCCCGCGTAAAAAAAATAAAAAAAAAAAAAATCCAGAATACATTAACTGAGTTATTATTATATGCCAAGATGACAGAGTGGCTTATACAGAGGCATGGAGTTTTATGAATCACAACACCATGGTTCAAAACACCACCCATACCAATGGAAATTTTTTAAACTAATTTATACTTTGGTGGCACGAGTATGGCCATCCATACAGCATATACCCAAAACCAGTAAAAATTTCAGCATGAAACTTGCTTATGTGCAGAAATGCTTCATTAGACTTGTAAATTTTTGGCAATGATGAAACAAGTGTTTCACACTTTTGATAAGCCAAATGTTTTACTATTCAATTTGATGACTATTTTTAAGTTTTATTATAGAATAGGCCATGTAGTAAGGGTAAAAATAACACATCTTAGTGCACAGTCAAAATAAATTTTTAGGAGTCTTATCAATGCTGCACTCTAAGTTACTAACACAGATTTTAAAATAAAAGACAAGTACTGATTTGTTTTGGCCAGAAATATTTAAAACTGGAGATTATAATCAGTAGCATAGAGAGTTTGCATCACTTGACACTTGACGGGCTGCGTCCTTGCAGCGTGACAACCTGGCCTGCATACTGCTGTGCCTGCATGACTGTTGTAATGCGGCACACTGGAGCAATACAAAAACTCCAGACTCTTATATTAACTCAGAATGATTCTCCCAGAAAACATTCAGATAAAAATAGCACCAAATACGCCAATGTGAATCTTAATAAACCACTTTATATTGTTTATAAAATGAGGCAGGTCTGGATTATTTTGCAGACTCTAATTATTACTGCATGCAAATTATTATAAATGTGTCAATGCTAATAACCTCTGATTGGCCTATTCAACCCACATTATTGCTGTTAGGAGCCCCTTTGCTCCATATAGCCATCATAGCCTGGCACTAAAGAGGTAATAATCCAGTTTCCTCTTGAAAGCTTCTGCACTTGTTACAGCAATGTTTCTCATGTCTGCTGGTAATAAAAAGTACAGCAGAACCCCCGTATCCACTGATTCAGTATCCACAGTATTTTCAGTTATCTAATCAACGGTTACTGCGACCCAAAAACTCCTCTTAATTTTGCATAATAATGGCCCCAAAGCACAAAACTAGAAAAGCTGGCAGTTCTTCTAAGTTTAAGGGAAACCATGAAGTGCTTCCCATTAATGAAAAAGTGATAATTCTCTACTTATCATGCATAATTAATCAATTAAACTTTATAATTGATATGTATAGGACTTATATACAGGGTTTGCTACTATCCACGGTTTCGGTATCTATGACAGGTCCTTGGAACGTATCCTCACAGATACAGGGGTCCTACTGTATAGTTGCCTTGGACCATTGTTGACACAATGTTCTCTTATTGTGCCTTAGGCAACCCTGCTTTCTGCTGGCTCTCTCACTCTTACATGTTATGGTAGAACTAGGCCCTCAGGTAGCTTCCATTAAGGCAAATTCAGAAAAGAGAGAACTTACCTGCCAAACAACATCAGCCTTGGATGTGGTCATCAGTGTTTCAACTACCAACTGATCCCCAGGCTTGATTGTAGCTCCTTCACTAGTGGATTTTCGTTTTGCCCTCTTTAATTTACGATTCTTCATCATTTTAGTCATTAGTGCTGGACCCTTTTTGTTCCGCTTCCCTGTTAGAATGATAAATTATTAAAACACTTATACAATAAAAAAGAAAAGTAACAGAACGTCTGAATATGAATAGCCACATTAAGTTTAAAAAGAAAAAGAACTGGCTTAATTATACTTCATAATCTACAACAAAGCACATGTATGAGAGTAAATTAAGTCTCTGACATATGGAAGTAAAATATTAAAATAGAATTACATGAAGGCAAAAAAAAAAAAAAAAAAAAAAAAAAAAAATGTCGGGAGCAAGGGGCTAGTAACCTCTCTCCTGTAATTTTACAAAATTTAAAAAAAGAAATTTTTTCATTTTCCTTTTGGGGGGCCCCCCGCCCAGGGGAAAAGGCCGGTGTGTTGAAAGAAAGAAAAAAAAATGTCGGGAGCAAGGGGTTAGTAACCTCTTCTCCTGTATACTTTACTAAACACACACTTTACTAAATTTAAAAAGAAACTTTCATTTTTCTTTTTGGGCCACCCTGCCTCAGTGGGATACGGCCAGTTTGTTGAAAGAAGGTAAAAAACAAATGCGAGGGCTGGACTTAAGAGTACATAATACTGGAGTACAACAGAACACACACACAACAGGTTTGAATTAAAACTTTAAAAAACTCTGAAACGGGAGCTCATGAAACTAATCTGAGTAATAAATTGACATGGAAGTGCAAGTATGAACAAAAAAACAATAAAATTTTTTTCATTTTACGATATGCATATCGTTTCAAAAAAAGGCAAAAAAATACTGGTCAATAAAAAAAAAGGGTAAGAATAAAAGCAATACAGAGTTTATTGAAAATTAAAAACGTACAATTTTTTCCCATGCTCCAATTTGATCTGGAAAATATTTTGATAGTATGTTCCCCGAGTAATGCACTAAACTTCAAACTTCGGGCAATTTTGCGGGAAAAAAACAGTTTTGAAAAAAGAGTAATAAGGTGAGACGGTAGGGAGAAAATGGACTAAAAATTAAAAAAAGAAGTGGGGAAATGTTAGAGGGAAGGGAAAGGTCCCGGGAAAAATGGCAAAAAATTTTCGAGGGCTGTAAAAATTTTTAAAAAACGGCAATGATTTCATGCACGGTTAGCCCACCTTGAGCCTTGAAGGGGGGGAAGGGGGTACTTCCCCTACACTCTGAAGGAGAGGGGGAGTTGCACTTAAAGGGTCTTTGGGAATTTGTGATTTTTGTGCACTTCCCACAAAAAAGCTATTAATGGATGATGGTGAATATGTCTTCTTTCATGGGGCCCCTTTACCTCGGTGGGAGATAAGCAGGTTTTTTAAAAAAATCACAGCCTGTAGATAAGAAAAAACTCCCCTCAAATTACGGTTTCCATCAGTTTGTACAGGCATATCCGCTTTAATTTTTTCACTAATAGGCACTTTCCTTTTTTTTTGGGGGGGGGGAATCGGGTTGTTCCCCCACCGAGAGAAGGGACCCCCCCTTTCCCCCCTTGCTTTAACTCTTTCAGGGCGGGGGGGCCCCTCTCCAAAACTCTTTTCCGGGTCGAAAATTTTTTGGAAAAAAAAAATTTTTTTTTTCTTATAAATATAAAAATATTTTTTTCCAATCAAAATGAACCAAAAAGTATGAAATTTGATGGAAAAACTTACGGCTATGCCCCCGCGAATTTAGGGGTCTCGATGTTTTGACCATCGGAATTTCATCCATTTTGACCCCTTTTTTGGGGGCCAAAATTTTTCAGTGTACGTCGACAAAAATCATACTATTTCGCTAGAACCCCCTTTTTTCTATCAAAAAGAGTACAAGAAACCCCCAATTTTACTGTTTTCAAGTATCCAATAAAGTGGTCGAAACTGGGAATTTTGCCAATTTCACAAAAAATTTCAAAAAAGCCAATTTCCCCAAAAGGGTCCAGAAAAAACAAACAGCATTCCTGGCACTAAAATAAAATTTTTTCTGTTCATTTAGTCACGTCCCCCGGGCCCCCTTACATCTCTTTTTCTTTTCCCCTTTTATTTTTATTCTCGCAAAAAAAAGATTGCTGTTTTGCAGATACGATTAGTGTAGAAACGGTTAAAAAAAAAAGGGATAAATAAAAATCAGGCACTTGTGAAAAAATATTAACTCACCGTTAGGTACTGGGCGCTTGGATTTGTTTTTCTTTTGAAATTTGGGAAAATCGAACTTTTTTGCTACTTTGAGCTCAATTTCAAGGGACTTTTCAATTGAAACCCTCAAAAAACATAATATATATTATATATATATATATATATAATATATATATATAATAAATAAAATATATAATATAAATTTTATATTATCTATCATCTATCTATCTCTCTACATCTTCCCATCTATATCTCTATCTATATCTCATCTAAATTCCCCTCTTATCTCTATCTATTCTCTATCTATATTTATCTATATCCTACTAATCCTTTATATCTTATCTAATTCTATTATATCTCTATCTATACTTTCATATCTCTATCTATATCTCTATCATATCTCCACAAATCTCTACTATTCTCTATACCTATCAAATTCTACTATATCCTATTATATCTCTATCTATTTTCCCATCTATATCTCTATCTATACCTTCAATTCCTTCTATACTTATCTTAAAACCTATTATCTATCTATCCTATATTATCTCTCTTCCTCTATAATATCTCTCTTCTATATATCTCTCTCTTATATCCTTCTCTCCTTCTCTATATTCCTCTCTCCTCTCTAACTTCTCTATCTATATCCCTATATCTTCTTTTTCTCTCTCCCTTAATTTTAAACCCCCTAAAATCTCTCTCTTTTATTAATTCTCTCTATAATACTCTCCTATAATCCCTCTCTCTCTTAATTTTAAAAAATATCTCTATATAATCTCCTCATATATATCTCTCTCTTTATTTATCCCTCTACTCTCTCTCTCCTCCTCTCTATACTTTCTTTCTTTCAAAACACCGCCGTATCCCACCGAGGCGGGGGGGCCCCAAAAAGGGAAAAAAGAAAGTTTCTCCCTTTTTCATTTAGTAATAAACAAGAAGGGTTCAGCCCCTTCTCCCCCGGGATTTTTAGTCGCCTTTACAACACGCATAGCTTCGGAGGAAGAATTCTGATCCACTTTCCCCAATTTTATATATATATATATATATATTATTATAATTAAAATATATATTATATATTTATATCTCTATATTTTTTTAAATTATATATTATCTTCTTTTCCCCCTTCCCATATATAAAAAATTTATATAAAAATCTACTCCTCTCCTCTCTCCAATTTTTTTAATATATTTTTTTATAAAAAAATTAAAAAATATTTTTATATATTATATATAACTCTATATTTTATTTATATATTATATAAAATTATCTCTCTCTCTCTCCCCTCTCCTCCTCTCTCTTTTATATATATATAAATAAATTTATATAAAAAATAAAAATATATATATATTTAAAAAAAAAAAAAAAAATATTTTTAAATATAAATTTTAAATTTTTATAAATAAATAATAAATATATAAAAATATAAATAACTATATATATATATATATATAAAAATAAATATATATATAAATAAAATAAAAATATTTTTATTTTTTTTTTCCAATATTTTTAAAATCTATATAATATATATAAAATAAATATATATAAAAAATAAAAAATATACTAAATATAATAATTCTTTTTTAAAAATATAAAATAAAAATAAT